AAGACTTCATGAACTTCTTCAAATCATCGGTTTCTGAATTGGCCAAACTTGTTTTTTCATTGAATGAATTTGGAGAAACACCAACACCAGCTACATTCTCAGATCCTTTTTGTTGTGGTTCTGGATTTTGAAATGAATGATCTGGTTGATGATCTGATTCCTTTTGTGCTTTTGAAATTCTTGGTAGATCATACTTATGTGGATGTGCAATCTTTAATCTCTTGCGTTTCTGTGGGTTTGTTCCTACATTAACACCTCTTGATGTTCTCTTTAACAAAACATCTGGAGGTTTTGCTGTGAAGTCTTCAAAATCAGAAACCTCCTCCGGATGCACATCATCATTATCTGGAACTGATGAAACAGATTGGTTTGGTGGTACATAATTGATATCTGGTAACCCAAGAGCTGAAATTTCCTCAGGAGTTGCCTGAATGTTAGAACATTCAATCTAAAAAAAACAACAATTAATTAATGACAATAAACATATTAAAGTTGTATTCCATAATAAAACTAATTAATTAAGAATGTTGTATTGAATTAATTACCTCTGAAAAAATTGTTTCCATAAAAAACTCAAACTTGGGCTTCAAACCAACAACTTGCCAGTTGCAAATCCTCGGTATACCGTTTCCTTCTTTGATAACAATATTGGTGTTTATCGTAGAAGCACATTCATAAATCCATATATTAAGTGCATATGGAAAACCATTCAACCGATACAACTTTTTTGAGGGTTTGTACTTTTTTCGAAAGGATTTCATTAACTTTTCAAAAGCTACTTTACCCCAAGGAAACTGTTGGTAACTACCATCTTCCACCATATAAAAATCATCAATAGGAATTGGTGTATTATCAGGTTGGGAATACAAAAATGTATGGATAAAATAAAGTATAGCCATCTGAAGGGCATCCTCAATATTCTCCCATTGACCCACCATAAACCGGTCTACCAATCTTTGTTAACATTATATTTAGTATCAGGAAAATATCTTTCAACTAACCTACTGGTTTTTGAGTCTGGATATGTAAAGTCCTTTACATTACCTTTACAATTCAAACCAGTAATAATTGCAAATTCATTGATGCCAAATTTCAATACATTCCCTTTGGCATGACGAATGTGAATCTCTTCATCTAAATTATCATGCTCAATCTCTAACAAGTATAAACACTTAGTAATTTGGCCTTGGTATTTGCATCTAGGTATATTTAGGTATGGTGCAAAAATTGTTTCTTTAAATAAATTCATACCTTCAACCTTGATAGATGATACTAAGTGTTCAACAAAATTCGTGTTGTATATTGGACCAAACTTTAATGCATTAGTTGGAATATGTTTAATTACGTAATTCATATTCTGCAATAAAACAAACAATTTTTTATCACATTGTAAAATATATAAAAAGTTTATAAAGTATTGAGCGCATATAATAATATTAATGTTTTAAATTGTACTAAAAATTGCATAATGCTGATACTAAATATAAATAAACAGGTTAACATGACACTTACAAATACTATTTGAAACTATATATAAACAAAATATTACATTTAATTATATTTCTTTGATACATTAAATTTCATGTCCAACACATAAAAAGATACTCAAATTCACAATTTAAATTAGATACTTAAATTTTTATATACTTATCAATAATTCATATAAATATGATACTTAAATAACAGATGTATGACAGTATGATACACATATACTATTATTGGATACCTTAATATATACGAACTATAAGTAAAAATAAAACAAAGAATCCTTCTATCATGAGCACCAAAAAATGATACTTAATAAAATTGATAAAACATACTAACAAATTTATTCAAAAATCATGATAAGATTAAAAAGATACTTAAACAATTCATCTTATACTAAAATATAAATAAACATGTTAACATGATACTTATAAAATACTAATTGAAACTATATATAAACGAAATATTAAATTTAAAATATATTTCTTTGATACATTAAATTTCATGTCCAACACATGAAAATATACTCAAATTCACAATTTAAATTAGATACTTAAATTTTTATACACATATACTATTATTTGATACCTTAATATATACGAAATATAAGTAAAAAGAAAATAAAGAACCATTCTATCGCATGATACTTACAAAATACTATTTGAATCTATATATAAATGAAAAAATTAAATTTAAATATGTTTATTTGATACATTAAATTTCATGTCCAACAAATAAAAAGATACTCAAATTCACAATTTAAATTTGACACTTAAATTTTAGTTACAATATATCATCTCATCGAAGCTCCGGCGACAAATACTTATCAAAGGGCATCGTTAACAAATGAGCTATTGTGGTATTTGTGAGAATTTAAATCTACTTTCGGTTTGTACTCTTTGCGTCAATTACAGGTTATTCACAAAATTTAGCTTAATGTTAAGTTCCTCGTAATGGGTGGGGGTTGCAAGATTCTAATTGTGGAGATGATGTGTTTTTGACAGCTTAAATTAGTACAACAATGTTTTCTCATCACTGAAGGGGAGGAGAGAAGCATTATGTGGGCAATTAAGTATATTACTATTGGCCAAGGTTTTCCCTAAGAAAAGTTCTTTCTTGTTATGCCTACATTTTATATCACATTTGCTTTTATTACTTTCTACAATAAGATGCAATTATCTGTAATTGTTTCTGAAAGAGTTTCCAATTGACAATGAAATACTTAATCATAGTTGAAGATATAATACATAAGATTAATGTTGAATTGTTCAAATGGAGGAAATTTCCTGACTCATAAGAGTGCTATACAATATGATGATGCTAAACAAAATAAAACAATTTTTTTTAGAATGGTTGTAAGATCGTCAATTTATTTGGGATTGAATGTGGGGCAGTAAAGACTAAGCATATCCATAATGTGAATGTCATATAAATGCAAATTTTAAGATGTATATAAAGTCATACAATATGGATAAGATCATATACGGGCATATTCAATAGAAGGAGTTGCAAGCAATACACACGAAAAATAAGATCAGATGATATAGCTTTATATAGTTAACTAAAAAAAATTCCATATACAATATAAATTAACAATTAGAATCAACACACTAAATAAACAACTTGAAAATAAAACTGTACATGGGAAACAAATTACATACCATTTGTAATGTTGGTCGAACAATAGGAGGTGCCGCCTTCCTACCCCTCTTTTTTAGGGTTTTCGGATCTTTAGATGTAGATGCATCTTTGTTTTTTGAAGAATTTTTCTTGATAGAGCTTGATTTTTTCATGACCATGGTTTGATTCAACTATAAAGAACCCAGATCTACATAGAATTTGATTATGAAATCAATAATATACATAAAAATAATCACGGAAAATATAAAAAAAACGGAAAAAAATGAAAAATAATAATGTGGATGATGATATACCATCACTAAAAATACAAAAAAATGAGAAAAAATTGAAAAATCGTAATATGAATGATGATATACCTGATTTAGGACTCAAATTCAGAAGAGTATTGATAATAATCCTTATATTTACTCAGCTTGACCGAATGGACCGCTAAAACAACTTTTCACATGCAACTGATCGACTAAAG